GGTTATAGTAATATTATCCGCTAGTTCTTCATTTAGTCATTATGGAATAGAAAAGTAACAAAATAACAAATATTTTAATATAATTTCCCATTTCTAACTTGTTAATATCTCTTTTCTGGACCACACAAAGATTGCATAATCCACACAGACTTTCCAAATCGAAATCCGATTTAAATCAAAGCCAAATCCAGCTCCTTCGACTCACCAGACTCCTGATTTCTGACTCTGAGTGCTCCCAGTCATATTTTCCGCCTCAAGTATTCATAATTGCGATCCCTTAATGCGAGTTCCTAAATCAGAGTAGACTGGTAGCCGATGATCGGGACAGATAAGGCTGCTCACCGTACAGTGAACTGTAAGAAATCAACGATGCTACTGCGCATTTGCCCAGTGCTGATCCTTTAAACGCAGGACACAATGCAGACAGTAGTCAAAAGGGAATTTTCAGCTTAAGTGCGCACAAAAGGCCACAGCTAGGGAGAGAGAGATATCCTGTCGATCGAGTGGGAATCATTTGACCAGAAATAAAACCGCAAAAAGGATCAGCTCGAGAAGGCACTAGGTCAAGGGCTGAAACTGAAGGAGCTAGATCTCCAGATCGGGATTTCTGTTTCTGGCGAATTCTTCCTTGATTGACAGTCAGGTTATTTGGGTCTCTGTCCCTGTTCCCCGGATTTCTTTTGGCTCCGAGTGAGTTCCTGTCTAACGATTTCCTAGGCTGCCGTTGCCCAGGCAGCTCCGTCACAGCGCCAGGACCCCGCTGCCATCGTTCGTAATTTGAGCAAAGTTTTCTGGGCGAAGCAATTTGCGATGTTGTTGTCACGGACAACACACAGAATGTTCCAAAATGGCTGCCATCGATGGCGGGGCGAAAGGACGAAAGGCAGAAAGCCAAAAACGCTGCCACAAAAAGCGTCAACTGCCGCCATTTTTTGGGTATCTATGTGACAGCATCGGAGAGGAGACAACACGAAAATCTCATAAATGTAAATGCAAAAAAAGGACGAGTCGCGTTTGCGAAAGCCATTAGCAAATAATTTCAGCGAAAATTTTTGTATTCCACATTGTTGGGCACACACACACAGAGTGAAGGAGGAAGGAGGGAGGAGGAGAGGGATACGGAGTGAGAGAGAGAGACGAATGCCGTGAGGATAATTTCATTGAAATTTGAGTAGTCAGAAAGGAGCAGCAGCAAAATGTACAAAAGGACAACGCCGTGCAGATGCCTTGCGCTTTTCGTTCGCCATTATAACAACAAACAATGCAGGCAGGAGCGGGACAGGGGCAGGGTATACGGATCCTGGGACCCGGGGTCCTTCAGCCCCCCCTTCAGCCTTCCTTTAGCCCAACCCAAGCCCCTTCCTTTACTCTCCGTGTGTTTGCGTTGCCCGCAGGACTCTCGGCTCTGCGGGTTTTCAACGAAAAATTTGTAATTCGTTTCTCGTTTGCGGCTTGGCTCGGCTGCTCCATTTCAGCCACGCCCTGGAATTGCTCGGAAAATTAAAATTAAATGCTACCCCCACCCGTTGGAGCTGCTGCGCTCATTATTGTCCCGGTGCAAATGTCCTCCTGCGACATTCGTACAAAATCTGTGAAATCTCTGAATCCCTTGGAATCCCTGGCCCATCATCTCCTTTCTGATAATCCGCTTTGTCCTCCGGCTTAAGTGGCAAATGTTTGTCTGGGGCGTGGCACGGGAAGTGCGTCTATTCTATCTCTTTTCCTGTATCGATCTACTTCACTACTCCTACCTGTTCCTGTCCGGTTTCGAGGCACTCCTCTGGCTCGCCGTCGAGCAACCAAATAAATATGTTTGTTTGTTTACCCAAAAGCTCCGACAGCGCTGAGTTGTGCAAGATTTTCAGTAGCCATGGTCGAGACAGAGTCAATAAACAAATTTGGAGCTCGATCTGGAAGCCCTTTTCCGGGGACTGGCACGAGTTGGGAATTCGATGATGGCCATAATGATAATGATCATATTGAGGGAGCTTGATTTTTTAAATTTTGTGGAAAAAAGCACCTTAGCTGCACACATACTTTCAGTATTTAATTCATTATTAATTCACTTCACATTTAATTATAGTTAGTCATGTTTACAAGGCTTATCGCTTGCTTTTCGCCTCACATAATTCTGCTAACATCGTCCTTGTGACCCGATTGTGACGTCATTTCCGAGGACAAAACCACAAGATATATACACATATATGGTATAAATTTGCATGCATCATGCTAGAATTACAGCACTGGAAAACGTCGTGCCGAAGGTTTATCCCTTAGGCCCTCTCCCTCCCGACCTCCTTTGTTCCAGTTTCCAGCTCATAATCCGCTCAACTGGTCCTTTTTATCCTGTTTTATGTCGCCTGTCCGCAGATGAGGATGTGAAACGAAAAATTAGAGCAACCTGTCTGTGATGGATGTCCCTCTTTTCTTCTCATCCACTGGATTTCGATCTCTAATGCCCTCTAATGATTGCAAATATTTGTACCTTGTTGTGGCCATTTTGCCAGGGATTTGCTTTGTCTGCCTCCAGCCTTGTGACTCATTGTTGTCTCCCGGTCTAAATTTGAATGGTGGCAGTGCTCGAAATAGTCCCGACCATCTACCAAAGGTCTGTGCACAATCAATTGTCACTTTCGACAGCATATTTTGAGCTAACGCTGGTCTAAAGATAGCCAAAACTAACCCAAATATAGTACGCAACTCTTTGCCGGGTGAATAATTACGCGGAATGGATCAGCTGCTGTCATTAGAGCACCAATCTAATGGACCAAGTCTAGAGATCGAAGTGTCTAGACCTGAGATCTATAGTATAACCAATTTAAAAGCTATTGTGTCGTGTGATTTCTCTATTTAAAACTCGTGTGATTAAGAAAATTAATTATATTTTTGTACCTTTAGGATAATATTTGAAACAGATACAAGATGAAGAGCAGAAGATACATAAGTGTGGCAGGATTTTTGTACAGTCTGTTTCGCTTTACACCGCGAAGGATCTTCAGCAAGCTTCACTACCTTATTACAAAATTCACACTTTTGAGATCTCTTTTAATATTAATAATAATTCTTTAACATTTCTATGGCTATATCAACCAAATCTTGCATATATTGTCCATATGTAATTGTAATATCAAGTTGATTAAAGTATTTAATTGATGAGTTTCCTAGCATACTTTCTAGTAGTAAAAGTAACCCCTTGCAGCAAGCTGCTTGGTTGCCAAATTCTTAGGTATTTCTACACATTTATATAGAGCAAATCCCATATAGATGGAGCAATACAGCTCAACGACGACACGGACACGCATCTGTCACATCAAAAGCGCCGGAGCATCTTACAACGCTCCGGTAATTGGTGCGGGGCCGGAGCCCAGTTCGGGCCTGAGATCTTGCCCGGGGACTGCCTTCGCTTACAGGAATTCTGGGTAAAATCGGGAAAAAATAGATGTCGAATGGGAGCTAAACAAATGGGCGAAAGTGCGACGAAATGAACTTGTCATAATTATTTGACAGTCCGGGGTAAGTGTGATGCTGCGGCGGCACTCCCCTGCCATTAACCAGAAATTGATGTAAAACATTTTGCCAGAGGCGAGGGGCAAAGGAGTGACAATGAAGGCAAAGGGGTGCTCTGCGCTCCTCTGGGTATCCAATTCGGTCGCTTTGATTCTCCTTTACGGTGTCACTGCCAGCGGGTTGCGGGGTCAAGTGGTCGCAGCCTGTGAAAACAGAACTTGCGCCTCATTTCCGGTGCAATCGAGTGGCAGACAGCTTGGAGCACGATAAGATTCCTGTCGCGGGGCTCCTCCATTCCTTGCTGGGTTTACTTAGGTGTGGCTGTTGTCAGTCAAAGGCGCAGACAGGCAGCTGCCCTCCCGGTAACCCCATCCCAATGCAACCCATTCCACCCAACCCCTTACCAATTAAGCGGTTTTTTCTGAGACAAATTTGGGCGACCTTTGACTTGACGTGGATGGCATTACTCGTTAGCAGTCGTGACAGTTTTTCTTCGATTTTTCCATAATTTTACCACGAATTTATTTTGGCCTGCCTCGTCCCTAGCAATTTTCCTAGCTGTCTCACCAAAAAAAAAAAAAAATATCAGATTTCCTCGTTGCACATTTTTCCATCCATCCATTCTTCGAGGCTTGGGAAAGTGCAGCAGCAGTGGCAGTAGCAGCCTCCGGACTCCGGACAATTGGCAGCCAAAATGCCAACAAACAAATCATTCACATTTCGTCCATTGATTGGCGAGGCGGCAGAGCGAAATTCGATATTCGTGATCGGGATCGGGATCGGTGGAAAGGGACCAGGAACCAGGGAGATGAAAGTGCTGAGAGGCTAAGAGGAGGGATCGACAAGGAGAAAGGGAGGAGGAGGAGGAGGCTTAGGGCAGGCCATCCTCCGATTTCGATAAGGCCGGCGATTCCGGTCCCAGTTGCCAGAGCGCACCTGTTCCTCTGCTCGCGGAACGCGTCCCATCAACAGTTGGTCTCGTTTCAGCTTTCGCCCAGCAGTAACACTATACTTACGTCCCGTCTACCCTCCATTCGGCGGCCTTGTCGTTAATTTTTGCCGTAATTAAGTTTTACGGAAATAATCAACTATTTGCCATTTTCATAACAATTTTTTTTCGCTTTATTGCCGCCTTTTCCCCTGCTATTTAATTCGCAATTGTTGAACAGAAGCAGCGCAAAAGTTAAATGTGGCCAAGGTCTGAGCGATGAAAACGATCCCCGGCAACTTTAGGGCTGCCACATATGGTGTAAATGTAACCGATAGGCCAGCAGGGGTATACGGTTGCCAGTTGCCATTTACCATTTACCAGTTGCCAGTTGCCCAAGTCCGAGTGTTGCACAGTTGGCACAGTTTGTGGTTCGCCATCCGCCGCAAAGGGGAATCTCTGCCTTTAACGGAGATGGATTCTGTTTAGCTGGGGATTTAGTCAGGGAGTCGATATGATAATTACAGCATCCACTCCGCTAACTACATACTATATACAACAAATATTAATGCATAAATGTGTGGCTTTATCGCGGATTAAACTTGCAATTACATTTCTTGGAATTAATGCAACAAAGTGTTTAGATTTGTTTCGTTGGCAATGCTCCAGGCAAATAACTGTGTTATGGAACCCTACCCCAACCGATTGCTAAGTACTGGTCTTCTGGCGTCCTATTGTTAGGGATTGGCAACAACCGGAGCTGGCTCTTTGGGTTTCTCCTCCTTTGGCTGAGCGACAAGACCGCTCTCCAAGGCGCTAAGAATCTTCTCATCGGAGTTGAGCTTCTTGGACTCTGGCTTTGGGGCCTTTTCTGGTTGCTGCTTCTGGGTTGTTTCCGGTTGCGGCTTTGGGACCTTTTCCAGTTGCGTCTTCGGTGCCTTTTCCGATTGCGTCTTCGGTGCCGCTTCCGGCTGCAGCTTTGGCTTTGCTTCGAGATCTGGTTCGTTCGAGTCCTGGATCTGGACCTCCGAATCATTCGGCACCAACTGCAGTTCGTGCACCTCCTCCGGCCCATTGACGGCTGTCTGTTCAGGCCCAGACCCCTCATCCTGATTCTGGGCCTTGTGAAGGTGGAACAGCCGCTTCCAGTACATCGACATGGATGACTTAACGCCCGGTTTCGTGGTGGTCAAGGGCTTATCCTGCTGGTTGGGGGTGCTCATGGAGCTCGACTGCTCGGGCCCATCTGTGTTAGGTTCATCCTTTTTCGGTCCATCCTTGTTGGGTATTTTCCTTCGTGAAAATATACGACTCAAAGTCTTGGACTTGCCCAGTTCCTTGTTGTCGCCCTCAATGGAGGTCTCACTTCCGTATTCCTTCAGGGCCGGCTTCTTGCTGAGCTTAAAAAAGCGTTTCAGCGAATTGGTCTTGGACATTTGGGCATCCTCCCCTGGCAGGCCCTCCGATTCGTTGAGCGGCACATCCTGCAGATTGGACATGTTTCTTCACTATGTCCACTGGAATCGCTAGAAGTTTTTTGAAAATTAACTTTGGTTTGGTGAACTACGAAATATATATAATATGCGTGGAGTGGCTAAACAGAATGATAAACGTATGCCACCAGAAAATCCATAGCCTACCATATTAGGGATGAATTTTCAGGAATACAAAAATCTCTAATTTCAGAAATAAATTCGGTTTTTTTAAATAAGAAAAACTGATTCAAGATGAAGAAGCTTAGTTTGCTTTTTCTGGGAATTCTGTCCCCAACCGGTTCTTAGTTAGGCTTTCTTGTCTTACCTTGCAAATTCTAAAAATTCTTGAAAAACTTCATTGTGTCTAGCTCAATCTTGTAAAGCATATTCCATTTTTACAACATTACTTCAATAATTTTCCCGTAATTCCATAATATGTGTAATGCCCAATCCTGTCTTTCCTACATCTTAATTAACAAAAAAAACTCTCGTTTTCCGCTGACTGCCCTCAGAAGGGTTGAAGCTAGGGGTTCAAGGCACACCTGAAGAAAATCTCAAAGAGTTAACGAGCAACTCCTTTATCAGAGATAAACTCAAAGAGTTACGCAGACACAATAAACTTGGCCATTCTAGAGGGTTGTTTTCCTGCCGGCAATCAAAGTTTTTAATTAACAAACAAAGAAACCGATTTTCCAAAAAATTGTGTAAATAATTCGCAAGGATTTTTCCAGCCAAAAAGGGAAGTTTGGCAATCGTTGAACCCGAACCGTGACATCTTGAGAATAGGTCAACATTGTTGTTTAATTAGAGGACAATAGCTGTCAATAGCTTGCCCCTAGCGCACACAGAGTGCAGGAAGCAAGAAAGTTGGAAGCCAAAGTCAAAGGTGGCTGGCTAATTGCGAGGCGGGGACAGGACTGCCAGCTGTGAAAAAATCTTATCCACACTCCATCTTAATGACTACTTAAACAGCGACAAAGCCAACCCCCAACCTCGAGTCCAACCCCGACCCCAACCCCACTCAACCGCCCGAGTGCAACCCCCTTGGGCAACTCTGTATGGATATCGCCGCTCAGCTCAAGTGCAGCACTTGAGGCAGCTGTTTGGCACTCGGGATGACTTTAATTTAAGCCCTGGGGTGCCATATATATATATGGAAACCTCAACATTAATAAGTGTTAATAATCGTGTGCCTGCGTGTGTTATTTTTTCCGACTGCGCCGACACGCCCCCCAACCGCCCAAAAAACGGGTCTACGATTTCACATCACTTTCGCAACAGCTTGACGGGGGAGGTTAGGTTGACTGAGAACCCGGCGAACTGAGACCGAGTTAGAAAGTCCGTCCAGAGGAGCGTAACATGGATAGGGTATAAGTATAGGATTACCGGCATCGGCATCAGCATCACCATCAGCATCCACCTCCATGTCCATGTCCAAGTCCGTGTGCGGATATGGCAACCGAAACAGCATCCCTGGGGGTCTCCAATGATTTGTTGTTGTCGCCGGGCAAGTTTACAAATTCAATTTGTCAGCGATGCCTCAGTGCTGGTTTTGCGGGCGGGGTGAGTTCTTGAAAACCCAATTCCATAGGCTTGGCAACGGTTAACACAAAAAACACCGGAACTAAATTGGGGAAGCAAGTGCAGGGTATAGATCCTTTGATACCCATTAATTTTATAATTTTTGCTCTATATTTTTTGTTTTGGTTCATAACTTTAAAGCAAAGAAAACATATTTAAAGAAGTTACTAATATGGTAAGACAGAAATGCTCCACTGTAAATGTAAAGGAGATATTATAAATTAAAAATTTTATAAATTTCAAAATCGAATCGAAGTTTATTATTCTAAAAATCCTGTACATTTTATTGATTAATTATATTCCGTCTAATCAATGAAATAATGCTGAACATAGTTCAAAAACTATTTTAAATATGCGTAATCCTTAGCAAATTATTTTATGTTACCAGTGGTCATCCCCTAGTCGAGCATATCCTTTTCGTCCTGCAGGGCCACCGCGTAAGAGCATATGTTCCCATTGCATACTTGAGGGCGCATTTGATTAGAGCCCACCGAGGCGGGAATATTTAATTTGGATGTTTGGCTGCGGCGCGTTTTGACACGCGCTAGTCGAGAGCACGTAATTAAATTAATTAGAGAGTCGTTCCCACAGGTAAACCTCCGCCCCCTGCCAAGGCCTCGCTGCCACCACTCGCCGGCAGCTCAATTTGATGCGATCCAATCTACTCAGAGTTACCCCACAGCCCGGCCAGAGTTTTGATGCTCATTCGCAGTGACAGGCGACACACTTCGCTCGGTGGGTGGGCCAGCCAGCAGGTTGGAGTGGGTGGTGCCGGTGCCGGTGCTGGAACTGGTTACCAAGAGAACACACAGATAGCAGAGCTGGTGCCTTTGGGCTTCGGCTTTGCCTTTTAATGAAATTCCTGACCAATGTTTGTTTTGCTTAGGTCACCATGGCGATTCTCCCCTCGGCACATCGGGTGCCCATGTTATAGTCCGACCTCCAGCTGTATATATGGGTATATATCACTCGGCGATCGGCACGTGCCTGGAGCACAGGCACAGGTTCCGCATAATTTTTCCCAAGAATGAAAGCATAAACGAACCGTTTCTCGCCAACCCCGGTGGTCATCATAATCGGCTCAATCGTAATGAGCTGCCAGCGTCATTATGGTGCAAGTGCAGTCTCTGAGTCGGTTTATTTTCGTTATTTATCGGGGGAAGCAAGACGCCCACACAGGCCAAGTCTTTGTTTGGCTTCGCTCTCCCAATATTCGGAATATACATATTCCCTCTGGCCTTGTCGATTCATAAAACCCAAGTTTATGTTCATATTTTTTATGAAGCCAGCAGCACAGTAGTTGGCCAGGCGCACTTTAACGATCTTTGGGCCATAAAAAAATGGCTGTCTCCGCCATATACTTGTATACGTTTAAATATGTATATTTGGTTAATGTGTCGCGGGGCTCAGCTGGAAACAAAGCACGATTTTTGTGTGATTTACGATCGATTCAATTCGATAGATATGGGATCCCTGGAACAGCTGATTGTCTGCGGTTACACTATAAATATTTGTACAAGTGGAAAATGTGTTTTCCAAGGGAAATGCAATACCTCCAAAGTTGTTGTTCCTATTCTTTATTAATTTTGCAAGTTTCTGGGGAACTGAATGAGTGTGGTAACCGGACCAAATGAAGTTTGTTTTGTCTATGAAGCATTTTAATTACCAAATCGTTTCATTCAAGATTTTCGGAATCGGAATTCCAAGTTCAGTTCCCCCCTTACAAAACGAAGAAACCCCAAGCCAGAAATCTGCATAATAAACTCTTCCCGTCTTCGGTTCGTGCCAACTGCACGTTGGACTACACAAGTAATTTTATGCAATTTCCAGCTCCTTACACTGCGCTTTTCATCCTACGTTTTGTTCTCTATTTTATATGGTGTTGTTGTGGTCAGATCTCCATGGCTCAGCGATTTTATTTGTGACGGGAAGAATGCCTCAGACCTTTGGCATGTGCTGACAAATGTGGAAAGTCGCTAATCAGCAAGGCAAAAACAAAAAACTGACCCAATTCGTAGGCTGTCTCAGAAGCTATCGCAGTCGCAGTCGAGTGACGCACTACCCGATGGATGATGACTCTTGAACTCGGGAACTTGAGTTCCCCAGGGGGGGGGACAAGGTGCTGGATACCCAACATCGGCGGAATGACAACAGACAAGCAAGCAATCCAGTGTCGCAGAGCTCCAATCCTTATCTAGATGTCCAGGCAAACAGTCGCAGGCCCAGATCAAGTTGTAAGAATGCGAACATGGCAACAAATGTGCTCGACTCAGGTGTTAAAACTTTTGCATTAAAATGGCGCCCAACTATGGGGCCGATCCCTGTGCCCCTCGAGCCCCTGGCCGTGTAAAATTAATACAACACTCGGGGAGGTCCAGGCCGATCAAAACTGAACGTAAATCTTAAACGCTTTCGGTCCCGGTCGCCCAGCCATTCTCTGGTTGCTGCTCCATTGTGTGCAGCAGCCTCTGCAGTCGCACGATCAGCACGTTCGGCCGCGGAGGGAGGAGATCTCCGGAGGAACAGGATGGTCGGCGATCGGCAACCGGTCCACGACAAATGTGCCAGTCTCAGCAACATGCCGGGCCCCAGAAATATCTGCAAATGCAGCGAATTGTGTGCAGATTTGTTTACAGAAGACTCTCCAAGTGGCCACAGGACGGGACACAGAGGCCAGGGGACAGGGGCACGTTGATCATCGTAGATATAATTGACGACATGTTGTCTCACGATCGTGCTAAAGCGATTAAAGCTAATTTAATGCCCAACTCGCCGAATCATTCCCCTAAAAATGGCCTAAAGGTCAAACGGGTGTCCAACTCCCACCCACTTTGGACCATTTTCCCTTGGAGAGCCCAGACTTTATATGAAAATTCCCACTTTGATTTGCGGTAATCAAGTTACCAGCTTAACTACTGATTTTTAAATAAACTTTTTTGCCAGAATTTGATTGCATGTGTGTCTACGTTTATTTTCTTAACTGCACTCGATTCTGTGTACTTGTGTAATTCCATCCGGGCCTTTACGTCAGTGTTTGCCTAGACGTTCAGCCAAAAACTAATTGTTAAATCAATATAAATTAATTACAACACGAAGAAATTGTTTGGAGTAGCTTTCCTTTATACATTCAAACGAAATGGTGTTAATAAAAACTTACATAAACATTGATTTTAATTAGGTAACACTAGATGTCCGATTTATTGCTCTTTCTTTGATTGCCTCAAGTCTGGAAATTGTACAGCAAACTTGCTTGTAATTGCCATTACCAAAAGCTAGAAAATAACTTATCAATTTACTTGCCTTTAGTTTATAATTGTTTAATTTCGTTTAATCTTTAAAGTAAGTGCCGTTATACAATATATTCTACCTCGTTTAAGGCTATTTACCATTTCACTTGGGGCATTTTCAACTATAATCTGAGCTCATTAGTGGCCGTCTACAAATTACCATTGATGGTGATTCACTGGATAAAGTGTACAGGGGCTCTGTAATTTTGATTAGATGCCAATTTGTTTATGGCACTCGCCGGCCTGGCCAGAGATCAGATATCCTCGTATATCGCATATCGGTTA